TGTTCTACTATTCATATCTAGTTCAGACAGCCCAGGGGCCTGCTCAGCAAAAGGCCAGCAAAAACTTATGTGGGAAGCACGTATTGTGAAAATTCATTTTAGTGCTATTGAGAAGCCAGATGATAAAGTGATGAGTGATCTGTGTATATATGTGTTCTGAATTAGTGTGAAGGCTTTAATCTGCTGGCGTCTCAGCATAAGGCATTCTTTCAGGAACATTTCAAAATGGAGCAGTGAAGCCAAAATCTTGGTATGAGGTAGAGGTTTTGTAAGATCAGCCATAATGGAAATGTGGCAATTCAGAATGCCCTCACACAGTTTATGGCCTACAAAAACATGAAGGGATTATTTCTTTTTCAAGGACCTAGAGCTGAGTCCAGACCTACTGATTGGCTACACTGGCACAAACAGAAGCCCAATGGTAGAGACATCATGATTGGAACACAGAAGAATTATCAGAATCAATAAAACTATAGCCCTGTAGGAACTAGTCAAATGTGGAATGCACAAGTCAGCAGCCTGGGGTGGGGCTAGGGGAATGACTAGGAGAGCTTGGAGGAATGGCTTGGAGGCTTGCCATGAGCCAGCTTCTAGATAATCATACTTGGATGACTGAGAATTTTCAGGCTTGGAGAGAGAGACCCAGAATCTGGGAGTTACATGCTTCTTAAACCTGTGCACCAGAAAACCCATCCTCACCTTAAAATCTATTTTTTAAAAAAAGTTGCCAGAAGAGGGCTTTTTCAGTATTTATTTTTAAATATACTTTTGGTGTTCAGTGGCACTGTAACAGACTTGGAGCTCTAAGGTTCAGGAGTGGGAATCTGCAGCCCCCAACCCTCTGGAAGTTGTTCACTCCTGGTTTAGTAGAAATCAAGTCGCTTTCATGGCACTCTGCCTCAACTACAGCATGGCTTAAACTAGGCTTACCAGGTATGTGTTTTCTGACGGAATGAAACACACTCACCTTTTATAATGTTAAAAAGCTTTAATGTGCTTGAAAGTTAGCTACCACATTTTCTAGATGCCACTATCCTGTCTGGAAAGAGTTTGGAATTTTCCACCTATGTGACTAGAAAGCAGATGATTAAGTTTAGGTCCAATGTAGTTCCTGCTGTCACCTTTCTGAACCTTTGACACAGTGTAGTTCACAGGGCATGGAAAATGTAACAGCCACCCCTTGGAGATCATCAAGTATTTTTATATTCTGGATCAGACGCTTCTGGTTCATTCTTTTCCCGTCGCTGTTTCTTGTTTGTTGGTAAAAAGACAGATGCAAATAACAAAGGGTTTGGTCTAATTGGACAGGGAGTGCTAAATGAACAAGTTCAAATCTCCAAGAATGGATGAACTGCATCCAAAAGTATTGGAGGAACTGGCTGAAGAACTCTTACTATTATTTTCTTGAAATCATAGGAAATGGGTGAAACACCAGATGATTGGAGTAGGACTAAAGTTGTCCCTTATACAAAATAGAAACTTAATATGGAAGGAACTGGAAATGCCAGAATACCATGATAGAATGGAGGGCTTCTTCTTTAAAGAAAAAAATTGAAGAAGAAATCAAGAGAATAACTAATTCCTTTCTGAAGAATATAGTAGAGTGCAGGAATAGCTACACACATATATTAAATAATCTATTTCACCATTATTGCAAGTAGCAGAGGTTCAGAGTTTCTCCAAAACTCTTAAAAATAAGAAGTATTAGTAGAGAAAGGGCTGAATACAATAAGGAATTGGGTTAAAAAGATAAAAAAAAAATACTATAAAGGAAACTTTGGAGGAAGAAGAGGGAATATTTTGCTTAAACATACTCCAAAGGGAAAGTTGGACTAGAGAATGGGCAAGAAAAGAAGGTGAGACCAGAAAATTGACAAAATTTGAGGAGATTATAGAACAAAGACCAGATCAAGGAGAAGTAAGTAAATGAAAGGGAATAGTTATTGTAATTTATAAAATTTTAGTACATTCAAGATCAAGCAACAATGAAAAACCAGTGGCAGGAGGACTTTGAGGAAGAGATTAGAGTAGAGGACTGGAATAAGATGTAGTCACAAAGAATAATGAAGAATATGTCTATTAAGGGTAAAAGAAAATTGCTATAGGTAGCATGGATATGAATATAAGATTAAATATAATAAATAAAAATATATCACCTCAATGCTGGAGATTCAATAAGGAAAAAGGGACCTATATGCATATGTGGTGGACATGTGAAATAAAAAAAATTAAGAATGGGTACTGTTTTTTAAAGAAATTAGAAAAATTATTGGATGTGATATTCAGGTATCACCAATTATTGACCTCCTGAACATAATTAAGAATGATTATTTGAAAAAAGATCAGAAAGAGCTTATTTTTATAAAGGTTATGGTAGGAAGATTAATATTTTCAAAAAACTGGAAAAACGACAAACAAATTAATCTTTGAGACTCATTTAAAGAAATGTGGAGTTTAGCAATTAATGATACGTTAGCATATGAAATGGTGAAGTCTAACAATTTCAAAGATGTATGGAATTTATACTTGGAATATGTCCTTTTGAATGGGAAAGGTTATGTACCAGCAGAAGAATCAATGTATTTTTGGAGAGGAATGGGGTGAAAATTGATATTTTTGGTTACCTAGTCTAGTCTGAAGGGTGAAGGTGGCACAGGTGGGAAATGTTCAATGTGTATTGTGTGCAGTCATCACTAAGTTTGTATTGTTGTTTTATTTTTGTTATTTGTAACTTTCTTTTTTATTAATACATTAAAAAAAGTACTGTGGATATAGCCTAGGTAATTTATTCTGTACTTCAGTATTGTACATTTTTAGAACCTATGGTCATTGATAACCTTTTGGGCCCTAAAATCCTATAGGTCCAAAGGAATAAGTCACATAGTCATTGTTTATTAAACATTTCGCTTAAAGAGCCCAAAAAACCCACAACAACCATTTCACTTATTTACTTACCCCCAACCACCTGCCAACACAAGGGTTCAAATCTCATGAACACAATTCTCCAAGTAATAGAAGTTTTCTTCACATGATGGATGAAGGAACGTTATGTTCTGAATGGTGATTTACTAGAGGTGTAAAAGACAAAAGTGAAACTGACCACATCCCTTTCTATTAAACGTCCCTCCTCAATTCATAGGGGTTTTTGTCCTCCACTATGTTTTGTTTAGGTGTGAATAGCAGCACATGCCAGACTTCTTCCCTAGAGTTGTAGCTCACTGGGCAAGCCCATGGAAAGTGGGATGAGGGGGGTGGTGGAGGGCTAATAGATCAGTGGAAAATAAACACCTGTAGCAGTGTTTGGACTTGGGGAGGGCTATATATGGCACATGGGCTGTGTGTTGCTCACCCTAATTTACATTCAGGATTTTTGTTCCAGTGGTTCTTAATCTTTATTCTACTACCACTCAGCAAGCAGGCAACACTTATCACTTGTATATAAAACTTAACACTTATTGCCCTCCCACCTGCAAGCAAAACATTAGGAGATAAAAAAACAGTTCCAGAAAATAATGTTTATTCTTCCATAATTTTATAGATACTTTGATGCACAGGTGTCAGGTGTCTGTCAGCAAATTCTTGAAATGTCCGAAGTTGGTGGTCCGTATAGGTTTCCCTGAAGTCCATTTTATCCTCACTCAGCTAAGTATAAAACCAGCCAATTTTCTCTCTCTTTCCTGCCTACCATCTCAGATTGGCAAGTCCCAATTTCAGGGTTTTGTCTTTGAGGTTATCCAAGGGAAGAAGCAAATTATCAGTTTAAGCAACCAAAGTCAAGTGGCCTGACTACTTGTGCTTCCTTTGGGAGGCCTCCAAAAATAGCCATTGTGCTCAATTCACCCTGAAGCACCAGAGGCAGCATGAATTTCCAGCCGCTGCACTCCTCTGACCACAACAGATCCTAACTCCTAAGTTCCATTCCTATCCTGCCAGGTGCCAGCTCCCTGCATGACTGAATCCTAGAAGACATGGTCTTTCTAGCATAATTCTTCATTATTTCCCACCACCCCACATTTTGTTTGATTCCTTTCTGAATTCCAGCATGCTTCAGAACCCCCCCCCCCTTTTTAAAAAATGATCTTTTCATGCAAACATCCACAGATTAAATACATAGGCAGAGTATCAAAGCTCCATCCTTGAATCTCAGTCAGCCCTAGACTGTCAATATCTGGTGCATAAGCTACAAAAAAAAATTGGGCAGCTGGTTCCCTCACTAGTGAATATAAGCAGCCATTTTCTTTCTCTCTGGCTTCTGAACTGGATAGAGTATCCATAAGCTGTAATACGAGAGTCTTTGGGAGATGGTTCATTCATTTCAATCTCTCTTCACCATTTTACACAAAGTGGATGTCACCACACTGTAAAAACTATCTGGTGTCAGAAAGTCTTCTCAATTATTCAGAGGCTATTTAGAGGCTCAGCAAAATTTCCTTGACTGCTAAATTATTAAGTATAGTGTATTTTTATGGCTAAAAGGACAGCCTGGTTAGGCATGTTATAAAAGCCAGCGGATGATCCCAAGCAAATGTTTCCAGAACCAATTTCTTGATTAGCTTTGAATTTTTCAAGGAGAGCTTGTCTATGTTTAGAAATTTTTTTTCTTCATTATCTCTATCACCTATTCTGAGTAAGGATGATGGAAGTTTTAGTCCAACCTACCTGGGATGCACTATGTTGGTGATGGTTGGTCTACATCATTGGTGAGTTGAGACTCAAAAGTGCATCACACACCAGGACCACACTCTTTGGGACCTTTCTTATAAGGCATCATTGGGCTTTAGAAACACATTCTTATTTATTTATTTCACTCGCCCACAACAATTCATTATACCCATCTCTGTATGAGCAAAATGACTTTGAAATGTTCACTGTTATTTCAAGACCATCCTAATGAAAAATGGTTTGATTGGTTTCACTCCAAGCAATGGGTTTACTTACTATATTTATTATCTTGTCATTTCCCTGAAATTCATTTCATTCTCATAACACCTTCTAAAGATCAGTTAGGCTGAGAGCCAGAATTAAGCTGGAGATGCCCTGGCTTTAAGAAAAGCTGCCACTTAATACTTTCATTGAGAATTATTCAGCTCTTTGGCTGACTTGAGCCCTATTCACTTGTTTTCTGTCTTGAATACTCAAATACAAAGGAAAGGAGTACATTAGCCCTATCCCTGCTGTTGTTGCTATCTTCACATGATGAGCAACTTTGTGAAGACAGCCTTCTCTCTCTGTCAATGCTCATCCTGCAATTTTGTACCCTTGGAAAACGGTAGTTCTCAGTGGCATGGAGAGTCTCTGCTCTTCAGAATGTCACTCTCTCTATGTGTTACCATATCCTCCTCACAAGTTTCGATAACATTAATTTAAAAAAATGCTGCAAGTGGGCTTTGGATGTAACTGTTAAGATGTCACCATCATGAGCGTGCATAATGCTGCTGCTACTAATGACAACACGACAACAATAACAATAACTGTGTATTTTAGGCACCAAAGATTTTATAGCAGTTTTTAAAATAAAACTACTTGGCACAGGTTTTGGAAATAGCATCTGTGAAAACAGGAAAACAAGTGGAAATGTGTCACCTATGGCCATTCAGCATCCCAACTATGGTGCTTCTACATATTATATCTTTGGAGGTTAAGCTGCGTCTTATTATTCAATTATGTGCAAAGCCTTCCCTTCCCTTTGATCCACCTGTTCAGCACAAGATATTACTTTTCATCTCTTTTTCTCTGTCACCTGTGATCTGTCCTTGTTAGTTGTTCACCAAACCCTTGGTCTTTTCACTGACTGGCCCATATCTACACAACAACTGCTTTGCATTTATTACAGAGGCCTGCATTTGTTTCAATTATGCAAAATCTAACCTTAAAATCTCAGATTTTTTCCCTGACCTTGTTTGATATGGTGGAGATAATACTGGAAGATTCAAGTCTGTATCCCTAGGCATATGTTTCAGTTGTACAAAGTTCCTCTTGATTTTATCTCTCTTTAAAAAGTCTTTGGATTTGTCTTTTGACTGCCTCAAGCTTCTCATCATAAGTGTCTGTTGTTGGGCCATGGGGAAAATTGGAGTTCTTGAACTGTTAATAAAAAATGGAGTGGAGCCACTGGGTTGTCGCTGTGGTAGTCCCATCCACGAGATCTTTTTTATGATGGGGTCCCTCAAGGCCACTTGCCTCAGCCTTGGTAAAGGTGAGAGCTGTGGTGTTTCCATAATCAAGAAAGCTGAGTTGTTTTTCTCTTGAAATTGGCATCCTGGAGAGGGGAGATTTTCATCCATTGCTTTGAGGAAATCTTTGACTCTTGTGTCTGGAAAAGCCCTAGGACTTTGGTTTAAAATCCTGTTTTCGGTCGCTGACGTTGGAGTCATTTGACTTGTACACGACATCCAGGACCTCTGAGGCTGGTCGTTGATAGAATGCACTGGGAAATTTTCTAAAGCTGAAGGTGGCTTTTCTGACAAATATGACTTTCTGATGTCTGTGAAATCCTTAATATCTTCTACATTTTCCCCCAGACCTGGTTGCATCTTATTTAATGGCTCGCCAGAAAAAAGCGTATTTGGAGACGTAGGAGGCTCAAAGTGAACAAATTCTCTGTCTGCAAACTTGGAAACTAAATGGAATATAGAGTAGATAGAATCAGTTCATGCAGATAGTACACAGGGAAAAAAACAGATTTAAATAGTTGTTCTGTTTATATTTTTCAACTGATATTAAGTGTAATAACAAAATTCTGGATGCTGCCAATCCATGATCATAATGATTTTTTTAATAAAACCAAAACAACAACTAGTGTACTGTGTAGCTGAATGATGAAGCTTACTGCAAAGCCCCAGGGCAAGATGCCACCCTTTCCCCCTATTTAATTCAACACCTACATGACACCGATAAAAATTAAGACTCCGGCTCCAATCTGCCATTTCTAGAAGTGACATGGTGGTGGTGGTTATTTGAGGAAGAGAGTAAAGGAGGATAAGAATTGATTGGTGTTGCTCTGGTTAATTGCAGTAGAATAGCAAACGTTTCTGATGGTTGTTGTAGGTTTTTTAGGCTGTTTGGCTGTTTTCTGGAGATACCTCCAGAACATGGCCAAACAGCCCAAAAAGCCTACAACAACCATGGGATCCCGGCCATGAAAGCCTTCAAGAATACAAAGGTTTCTGACTTTCAAGGTTAACAATCACAAGAGCAAAATTACTTCTTTCCATTTAGGTTAAACTTAAACCAGGTAGGAAAAATGTAGCTCTGAGACCATATTTAACCTTCAGACTTCCTAAACCACTTCTTTTTTCTAGGAACTCTTGGAGGCTTCCAGAATCTGTCATTTACCTTTTAAACAGATCACAGAGACCCTCACACCATTTAACATATGAAAATACATCTTGAATCATCAAAGCGTGCATTACCTTCTGGTAAGATTTCTTGGTTTTCCAGAGTAATGGCAATTTCATCTTCCTGGATACTATATGGCATTTCTGAGTTTGGAACAGAAGGGAATCCTTTGCTGTTACCACTTTTCAGGTTTTCTGCTGTGATCAGCTCTGCCACTGGAGAAGCTGAAATATCTGCATCTTGACTTACAGAAGGTTTGCCATCAAGCTTTTCTGGCGCACTTTCCTTCTGCAGACATAGTAGCAACAGTAATATTAGCACAACTGAAACAGAGCAATAATGAACTGAAATGGAGTATACCAAATTCAGGATACCTTATTCTAATTCTGAAAGACTAGTATTGGGACTGATAAGAATATGAATTAGATGCTTTCTGTCTCTTTTGGTTGATTTTGTTGCACATCAATTATCTACATGCAATAAAGCTAATACTACATTTAAAAAGAAGTACATTTAAAAAGTGGGACATGCTTACTCTCTAAGGCTCTAATCTTACTGCTGAAGCACAGAGGAGAAGAGCAATCGCTAAGTACCCACCACACTCTGGTAGGTTTTCTTTCATGTGACAAGTTGTGCATGAACAGGCGCAAAACAGGAAGCTTGAAGGAGAAAACGGTTGTCCCATTGACAACTACCATTCCATTTAATGTTTCGGGCAAGAACACACTGGGCTAAATGAAGCAGAGCAGTGTTTTCCAATCTTGGGTAACCCAGGAGTTCTTGGGTTGCAATTTTCAGAAAACCCTGGGGAGCATAGCTAGTGGTGAAGGGTTCTAGAGGTTACAGTCCAATAACACCTGGGTTAAGCAAAGTTGAGAACCACTGCAGTATAGAAAATCTATTCATCATTCTATCCGTATTAATATTTCATTTTCATTTGCAACTCCTTCTGCAACTCTCAAGTTGTGAGATTTAATAATAATAATTGCAAGGCCTTCCTTGCCATGTTAGACCAAAATCCATCTACTTGTTTCCAACAGTGGTCAGCCAGTTGCCTTTGGGAGATACAAGTGGAAGTTCTCCTCTGGTGTTTGGCCTCAGCATCTGGAAGTATTATTGGAAACTCTGTGCCTGGATGTGGAGTGTTCTGTTCAACTGTCTGTTCAATAACCATGAATTTGCCCAATCTTTACAAACTTAGAGAAGTAAAAACTTGGTCTCAGCATCTGGAAGAATTATTGCCTGGATGTGGAGTGTTCTGTTCAACTTTCTGTTCAATAACCATTGATTAGGCCTTGCCTCCATGAATTTGGCCAATCTTTACAAACTTAGAGAAGTAAAAACAAAAACTTACAATTCCCAGAATTCTTCAATAATCTAGCCATGCCACTAGAGCATTCTGGAAGCTGCAACCCCAAAAAGTAGCTTTTACAAGCTCTAATCCCAAACTAATGTATCTTGTGGCTGCAGGCTCTGTAATTTTATAACATATCACACAAAGAAGTACTGTCTTAGGAGCCCACGACGCGTGATGCCATCATCATCTTCTTCAGAATTCTGTTTCAGATCACTTTTTGTGAATGTTTACCAAAATTCACACATTTCATCATTTTTCAGGATTGGAAAATATTGGAACTGAAAATTATTTAATGTAGGAAAACCTAAAACAATTTTTTTTTCATTCAGACCCATGGCTTTGAGAACTCTTAAAGTCCCACATGTGAATCCCTGCACATTCACCATGTTACAGCTGATAAAGGATTGCTACCTCTTTTTGTTTGACAGTTACTGTATCTTTAACACCTACAAGCAGGCAGGAGAAACAGGCTCCTTTTCACATGAGAAACAGTTTTATTTATTGTATGTGGCAAGTGCAGATAGGGGAGAGTTTTGTTTCAGAGAGTTTCTGAATAGTTTATCAAAATGTGCCAATTTCTTCATATTTGGGATAGAAAGGATTCTAAACATTAAATGTGTAAGAAAAGCCAGATTATTTGCCAGTTTTAGACACCGAGGGGCAAGCAAGGTTTTTCAGCTCTAGTAATTAATATTTACTAGAATGGGGTCTGGTATGGTTTTTCATCTGACATTGCTGTAGGTAATGGGTATAAATGCAACATAGCCAAGAGTAAATGTGAGAATTTCCCATTGAAAGCAGCAATAAATTAGATCTCACTGATTTTAGATCCAGCATTGTCTTCATTGTGGCTACAGAATTTGCATCCATTAAACAGAAATAAAAGATTCCACTAAATGAAAAAAAAAGGACACTCATGTTGACATTACAATATTTGTGGATTGCCTCTTGAAAGACAGCACTAGAGTCAAGAAGTCCAGTCACCTGTCTGATTGTCTGGCAGGTCAGGTGACCGGTTAGGTGAGCAGCCTCGCAACCAGTTGGGCAACTGCATCTCTTTGTATCACTGCAAAGTTTTAAAATATGATATTTATATAGTGGTTTTAAATTTCTTACTTTATCTGTTGTGAGCTGCCTTGGGTCCCCTATGGGGAGAAAAGCTGCATACAAACAATGTAAACAAAATAATTAATAAATAAACTCTTTATGAGATATTTCTAGTCCCCTGCCATGAAGCTGAAAGTATGGATTATTAAAGAAGAGAGAAGCTGCATTTCTAAACATAGGAAAAGGCATTATTTATTTATCTATTTATTTATTTTATTTATTTCATTTCTATCCCGCCTATCTGGTCAGATTCGACCACTCTAGGCGGCTTACAATCAGCAACAATAAATATTAAAACATTACAAATAAACGACTCCCCATTGTATAAGACACTTGGCCCATCTAAGCCAATCTTGACCACTATAAGTGTCTATCATGCATCTGAGGCAGATGTCCTTCGCCCCATCACCCACCGGCCTTTCTAATCCTTGATGCCAGGAAGTGACTCTGGACTGTCAGTATCAAAGCATACACTCTGTCAATGAGCACAGTGAAAGTTACTTCCAAGTGGAACATGCTTAAGGTTCCACCCTTAATCTGCAACGCATATATGTCTGAATATCTTTGACAACAAAATCAATGTAATGCAGTAAATTTTTATGGCCACTGTACTTATAGTAAAGATTTTCCTTCTTGGGTCATCACATTTAAATCTTTCTTCCAAACTGCTAAAATTTATAGGCCAATTGGCTCTCTCACTATTTGAACATATTTCATGACTTAGTGGAGTACATAAAACAACTGACGCTCTCAGAATCTGAAACTCCTCTGGGTTAGTGCGTCCTTACCAAGTATTTTCAAAACTCACAAAAACGCAATCATATAAATGATCTTGGAGGACTTTCTGTCCTTGAACAATTTCTGTAAGTTAAAACAAAATGTATTGCTCAAACCGTACTCCATCAGGAGGGAATATGAAATGACATAAGCATTTTAGTCAATGCAATCAAAGTGTCTCCTAGGATTTTACACACTTCTGGTTAAGAAAACAAAATTTCATCGTAGATTTTGCAAACTGTCACCTTATATACAGTCCATCAGAAAACTTGCCATGGCCAGTTTTTATAGCCAGGCCTCTTAAGAGCTAATTGGTTAAGCACCTGGGCAGGAAGCTTTTTGGCAGGAACACTATTTCTGCAAGGCTTAACTATAAAGTTTTGGATGGCAAATTGTAATCATTAGGCTCTCTTTTCTACAACAAAACACATAAAATGCAAGCAGGTTGCTTGGAGAAATCACAGTGTGTAAAAGGACAGGCCATGTTTTATGTTTATCCAATAATTTATGGGTCAAACCTGATCATGGAAAGAAAGGTCTTTGGTTGCCTGCAGTCGTTTAAAAGCCAAATTTCCAGTAGGTTTTCCCACCAAACAAAATTACTATCATGCCTAAAGCTAAATCTTTTGTGACCAGCTGTTTGCAGTCAGGATTTCAGAAAGTGAGATGTTAAAATTTAATAAATCAAACCTTTAGGGTCTTTCCAGACAAGTGTTTTATTGGACAACAGAAACACAGTTAAGACTCAGTTGATGAGAGGGGAATCAAATATCTTTTCTTGTGTCTACTGTGGGAAATCACTTTTTTTCCCCAAACTACAAGCTGCAGGTTTTTTAGAACTGGGAAAATGTGACATGCGGTCACACCGTCACTCACAATCAGCTAGCCTGCAACAGAGGTGACAGTGCTATGTGAACTGTACTTATGTCTTAGGCACTAACTGACTAATGCCTGTGGCATTACAGAGTGGCTTCTGTGCAGCCGAGTAGAGAAAAGTTCTAGAAGGATTGGATTCTGCTGCCATAATCTATACACATTTCTGGTTGTTTGAGTCTCCTAGCTGATTCTAGAGCAGAAGGTATGGTCTGAAAAAGGGGAGGACTCATCCCAAGGTAACAGAATCAGGTCCCTGCCTGCTTGGATAAGGAGCTGGCAGTAGCCGATTAATTAGGGCCTCTTAAATAGTTGAATAATGCCAGGGAATGGTGAAAGAATCTGTTATTCTTCACTCTGATCAGAATGGGATAACCAGGAGACAGACACTTTTCTCTGGGTCCCACCATCCTCACAAGTGTGTTTGGTGGAGACACAGGAAATGGCAGTGGCATAGCATGGCTTGCCAGCACCTGGGGCAGGTATTGTGCCCACTAACACATGGACCTGCACTCCTCCTCCTCCCTCCATTCCCTATAGAATTGTCCCCAATGCACCTGTTTTCTCCTCCATCACTGTCCCTCCTTCCCCCATCTACCCCTCGCTCTTCTATGCCTACCTCACACTGGGCTCAGCCAGGGCATGGAGGCCCTCCCCCGATCTCCTTGACAGGGCAGTCTACTGTCCTTTGTCACCCAGCAACATCCTTGTGCTGGGCTGGGGTGTGGGAGGGCAGCAGGAGGGAGGAAGACGTATGGACGGAGCTACCTGACCCAGTCCAGTGGCAAGAAAGAACATAAGGGGGCATGAAAGTGGAGCGGTTCTGCTCCCGACAAGGTTGTGCCCTGAGGAGACTGCCCTTCTAGCTCCCCCACACTATGCCATTGGGAGAGGGTCTTCTCTGTTGTTCTTCCCAGCGCCCTTCTGGCTCCCCCACACTATGCCATTGGGAGAAGGTCTTCTCTGTTGTTGCTCTCAGACTCTGCAACTCCCTCCCACAGGAGTCCAGGTTGGCCCCATCTTTGGCCCCATCTTCTTCAAGCAGATGAAGACCTTTATCTTCAGGCATCAAGCAGATGAAGACCTTTATTTTCAGCAAGGCTTTCCTTTAAATGACAGGTTGACCAAGGGGATTTTTTTTAAACGGATCATTTATTCTGTGTTTTACTTGTGT